ATGGATCGATTCAGTGACTGGGGTAATCGGGATGAGTGTGTCAGAGGCGGTGCGGTTGGCGCAGGATAGAGCAGGGTTTAGGGCTGTTGTGCATAAGGTCGCTATGAGTCGGAAACGACTCAACGGCACATAACAACAACAACAACAACATAAAAATATGAAAGCGTATATGCCAAAGATGTTGGATCATAGTTAATTTTCTTTCCTTTTTTAATCTATGCATTGGGTTGGCCCCCAATTCGTGGCAGCCTGTGCACAATGGGATGAAATACTTCATGATCCTGTGCTATTTCCCTCGATCCTCCCAATGGGTTTCAGATCAGACCACTGTGATCCACAAGGTTGGTTTTCGTGAGCTGATTCATGGACGTAGATTGCCAGGCCTTGCTTTCCCATTTATCTTGGTCAGGAAGCTCTGCTGAGAAAGGCCCAGCATCATTGCTGCAATGCAACCCTCTACGCATTGGCAGGTGGCAGAGGAATGAGGAGCACTGGTTAGGACTCGAACCTGAGTCTCCTTTATGTTTTTACTAGGAACCTTCAAGTACAACTCTTAATGACCTGATTAACAATAAATCCGAGCCCTGTTCTATCCTGTGCCATCCTCATCTTCTTAGATACACTTGAACCCATTGCTGCAGTCACGGTGTGAATGCCAACCCATTTCATTGAAGATCTTCCCCTCTTTTACTGACCCTCCACCTTTCCAAGCATGATGTCCTTCTCTAAGGAATAGCCTCTCCTAGTAACATGCTCAGAGTGTGTGAGATGAAGCTTCAGTCTCCTCACTTCCAAAGAACATTCTGGCTGCCTTTTCTTCAAGATTTATCTGTTGGTTCTCCTGGAAGTCCATGGGATATTCAGTACTCTTCTCCATACCACAATTCAACAGAATCAATCCTTCCATCATCTTTATTCATTGTCCAGCTTTCAGATGCATAGCAAGTGATTGTAAAAGGTCTCTCTTATGGAAGGTGAGCATTCTACCACTGAACCACCACTGATTTCTTTTTCGCTGCTATAAATATTAACTACTTGTGCTATAACTGTAAAAGGAAACCATAAGGTTGGATTGCATGGTCCCTGTTCCTTCTGTGCTGACATTCTAGGATCTGGCTCCCCTCCAACGCTCAGTTAAGAGCTCTTGATTTCACATCCCTGGGGTCTCGCACTGGCCTAGCCTGGCAGGACCAACCGACAACCTTCATCTACAACCTCCGACCTACATCTACTTGTCTTTTGTGCTGACCCAGGCCAGACTGAACTTTTACTACACCCTTTGCTGATCTTAAACCTCACATAGAACCTAGCAGAGAGGATTACTATAATAGAATCTTGATTCACTTAATTTCCCATCCTACTTATGAAAAGTCCTTTGAAAATGACAAAATTCCTTTGCATCGTGGAATTTCCATTTCTCCAAGGATCTTATTTAAGAGAACCAAGTGTACTGCATTTTACTGTGAAAAAGTTCATACAATCAAGAAAAACAGCAGTAACCATACTCCTCTTCATCGAAGGCCCATGGGGTGCCAGGCACTGTGCTGGCCATTTCACATATACATCACCTGAGCCAAGGCTCCTTCACATACTTTGGGCATGTTGTCATGAAGGGATGTTGTCAGATTTTAGGAAAAGAGATTAAATTGCAAGAGGAAGAGGGTCAGTGAAAGAGAGTAAGACCCCCAACAAACCAGACTGACATAGTGACTACAACAATAGGCTTGAGGCGAGCTCTGGTGGCCTAGTGGCAAGAAGTTGCACTGCAATCTCAGAGGTGCACTGTTCGAATCCACCAGATGCGCTGTTGGAGAAGGAGGAACAATCTCCTCCTGTACCAGTCAGATCTGATTTGATGGTACACACACAAAATAATGAAATAAAATAAAATTTAAAAAAACAACAAACAAACAAACAAAAAAATAGGCTTGAACATGATGGAGATCGTGTCAATGAGGCAGGGTTGGCAAGGTTCAGACCTGTTCATGAGGCTGCCGGGAGTCATAGTGTTATGACTCTAAGGTACCTAACAACAACAACAACAGCAGCAGCAGCAGTGTGTTCCATTGCTCCCTTTTCTGTAGAGGAAGAAACTGAGGCACAGAAGTGTTGAGTCCCTTCTTCAGTTACATAGCTAACAGCAGCCCAGATTTCAAGGAGCAGGGTCTCAGACCTTCTCTTTTCTGCATCCAGGACCCTCTGAGATTGGGCCCTATGTCTTGGTTGGACCTTAGAAGAGCGCCTCCTGCCTGCAGGTTGTTGGGAGGTCGAGCATCTGGATGCTGGAGCTCAGGATTCTGACCCAGCCTCACCCTTCCCCCAGCACTGTGCCTCATCTGCTCTTATGTAATTCAGCACTCTCACCTTCTCCCGCCCCCCGCCCCCTCAATTTATATAAAGCAGCTCAGTAAACATGCTCCAAGATGTCAGGGCCTGGGGAGAACCAAACCAGCTACAAATGCTCAGCCTCGGTCCAGTCCTACTCAAGCAACTTCTCTCTCCAACCTTGAGGCTCAAGCCTGCCTTTGTATGCCCCCGTGTGCCCTGACATGTGCCCAGGACTGGGTGCCCATGTGTGCAAGGTCCACAGGGGTGTGCTGGTTGTTGATGGAGCCCTAAGACACGCATGCTAGTACACAGGCGGGCCCTCATTTGTCTTTTTAAACAATAAGAAAATCATGCAAAGCTGCCCCGCCAGCGGCACCACCAGGCTTTCCTGTTTCAACAACTTAATTCTGGAGTAAGCCTCCTCTTGCCCTGCCTCAGTCACCCCAGTCAGCAGCCCTGAGGAAGGTCCCCCGCAGACCCAACACACCAGTGGTGAATGCTCATGGCATTTCCGGTTACTCAGCCCCAAAGCAGACCCAAGGCAGTGTCCTCCGGAAACTCTCATTTTCCAGCCATGAATGGCTGCTCCCCTCTTCCGGGTGTTCTCGAGACCACCTGATCAGCCTACATTCTAGAGGCCTGTTCCCCACCTGCCTACATCATTACCAGGCTGCTCTCCCCAAATTGGGCTGGATGAGACTTCAAGTCACACCGAACCATCCACATTTTCCAAGCTGAAGTGTTTACTTCATAGACACTATGCAGAGTCCCTGGCCTCTGACCTTTGCTGGCCTGGCCTGTCCAACTGGATAAATGCTCCCAGGTCCATGATCTGGTGGAAACGGCAAAGAGATAGCATAGCCAGGTGATGATTCCAGCAGCACAGGAGGAGTCTCCAGGCCGGGAAGATTCTGGGTCCTTTATCCTGGTGCTTTTGTTAAGCTATATTTACATTCCCTTTCCCACCACCGTGGAACAAGTGCCAGTGACTTGAGTCTCATTTACTTTTACTTCTCTTCCCAAAGCCAGTCAAGGCTCCTACAGCCAGGCTCTTCTCATCATTCTTCACTTCCACTAGACAAAGGGCGAATACACTCGAGCTACCTACCTCCAAGCATTTCTTGAAACAGGACATCTGGGTGCCACAGGTCCTGGAGCTCCAAGCCCAGGGCTCTCCCTTTAGCAGAACCCACCTCCACCCTGGTGGTCAGTGCCCAGTTCCCCGGGGTCTCACTGCCAACATCTGCTCTGATCGAGGTCCTCCTTCCCTCATGTCCTGGGCAGCACCAGACAGCCCAGAGGGAGGTTCCAGATCCACTAAAAGCAAGTAGCCCTTGGAAACCATTTCCCTCAGAGTAAACAGGCCAGAGCCCCCACACAAAGGGGCGGGAGCCAGATTACATTTCCACCACGCCCTCAGCAGGAGGGCTCCTTGGGCCTTTACTCTTATACCCCCTGAAAGTGTGCCCAAACAAGCCCTTAGATGGGGCTTTTACTGATAGATGAGTTATCAAACTAGACCTTGTCTTTCCCGCTAGTCTCCATGTTTAACTGAATTTTATCTTTTTACCGTCCCCTCTCTTCCAAAGTCAGTTCAATGGGCTCTCCTCCCTTCTTCTCACAGCAAAGACTCAAAATTCCTCAGGATTTCATTTCATTCATTCTGCAGCCCTGCAGGACCTGCCTCCTAAGGTGGCTTTTCCCTCCCAGGCTCCAACCTGCCTGTCTGCCCTCGCCCTCCGGTTGCCCTACGTCTCCAGGCAAGGGCTGGATTCGCCAGGAGGGGTTCTCGCCACCAGGGCGCACATCCACCCACCCACACCACGGGAACACACACACACTACAGAGAGATGGCCGGGAAGCCCAACGGCAGCAGCTTTATTACAAGATTCCTTTAAAAAAATGCAAAATCAAGGAACAAGCCCAGAGACTCAGAATCTTCAATCCCTCCCCACTCTGCTCAGTCACAGTCAACAACAGGCACACGCAAAAGCCCCGCCGGTGACCTCAGCCCCAAACTGCATCTCACAACCCCCTCCCAAGCCTCCCCAAACTTCTTTTTCTAAAACGCCCCTAAGTGTCCTGCCATCACCACCTTCCCACCCTCTAACGCTGAGGCGCACCCAGGGCCGAGCCAGGCGTGGAAGTCCTTTCCTGCGCCGCCGCCGCCGCCACCACGAGTCCCGGCGCTCCTTGCCCCGAGTGCTGCCCTCCTGCAGGCGGTGCCAGAGGCCAAGATGGGGCCGAGGGTCCTGCTCTCCCTTTTCTCCCATCCAGCCACGCTGGAGAGGGGGCCGGGCGGCGCTCAGTACAGCCCCAGGATGGCTGCGCCCACGTCCTTGGAGGGCCGGCGCTCCTGCATCAAAAAGTTGATCATGCTCTCGGACTTGATGAGCAGGTTGCAGCCCAGGAAGAAGACGCCGAAGACCACAGTGAGCGACAGCACGCAGAGCACCGCGATCTGCGCCACGCGCGACACCCACAGGCTGCGCTCGTCGGGCGCCAGCCCCGCGGGAACCCCGTCGCTGGTGGCCAGCGGCGCACCCCCGGGACAGCAGTCTAGCCACGGACCCAGTCCTTGGCTGCGGTTCCCCAAAGCCGTCCCGCCGGCGCCCACGCCACCTGCCGCCTCCAGGCCGCTGTGGTTCAGGAAAGTCGCATTCATGGCGCGGATCTTGGCGCGCGGTCCGGGGCTCACGGGGAGGACGCAGCGGGCGGTCCCGTCGGGTCGTGTGCGGGGCAGGGATGAAGGTTGCGTCCAGGAACCCCCTTCGGGCCGCCTGCCCCTGGGCACCGGGCAGGAAGCGGCGGCCCGGGGGAGGGAGCAACAGGCGGTGCGGTGGCTGGAGCCGGAGCCAGAGCCTGAGAGCTGGGCGCGCGTCGCCGTCGCCAGCTGCGCTCCGCGTCCTCCCCGCCGCCCCTCCCCTAGCAACAACCCCGCCCCGCCGGGCCCCGTGCGTCCCTGGGGGCGGGGACCCTAGGCGGGCTCAGCCGCCCACCGGTGTAGAGCTACAGGGGGTCTGCAGGCGGGCATCAATCTACGCCCTCCGCGGAAAACTTCACCCCCCCGCGCTCGGGTCACTCACGTCAGTTCTGGTCTTGCAAATCCCTCGTGGGCGCCCACCTCGGCCTTTGGTGCCCCTAGCAGTTAGGTTCTTCCGGAAGTCTGCCCCTAACTCTCTTTATTGAAATATATAATCTATTCACTAGTAATATATTTACTTAGAGGGTTTGTTAAAGCCCAGAGTGCCAGGCTCCGCCCAGGGTTTCCACATCAGTAAGTCTGCAGTTGGCCTACGCCTAAACCACCCATAGCTGACCCTCCAGCAGGTTTTCAGAGGCAGTAAATCGCACAGAAGTTGACTGCCGGTCTTTCTCCCACAGAACAGCTCGTGGACTTGAACCACTTGCCTTTGAATTGGCAACACAACTCCTAAACTTTAGGCTACCAGAGCTACAGGGTTGAACTGTTGTGATTGTTAGGTGCCGTCAAGTTAAGTACGACTCATAGTGAGTCTATGAACAACCTATCTGAACCCTGTCCTATCCTGTGCCATCCTCAATACCTAATACATTCAAGCCCATTGTCAGAGTCACCGTGCCAGCCCACCTGGTTGAGGGTCTTCCTCTCTTTCTCCACCCCTCCACCTTTCCCAAGCATGATGTTCCTCTGCAGGGAATAACCTCTCCTAGCAACATGCCCGAAATATGTGAGAAGACGCTTCTTCATCTTTGCCTCCAAGGAGCACTTTGGCTACACCTTCTGGTGTGAGTAAGGGACCTGCTTCTCAGCTTGAGGCTGTGAGGTAGAGAGCTGACTCAGAGCATTGTACACACTCCCTCAGTGAATTCCCACACCAGCTCTCAGGGCTTGGGGCCCCCACTGTGGAAGTGAGATGTGGAAACAGAGACACTCAGCACAATTACTGGTTTACTCAAGACCAGGCAGCTAGAAAAGCATCACAGTCCGGGTGTGACCGCTATTCTAGCCTGTCCCAAAGTTATGCTCTACATAACTTCTGTCTTATTCTGTCACCCCTGAACTGGTTTCTCCAGATGCCCAGGTAAAAAAGAAAGATGTCTTTGATCTTGAGGGAGGAAGAGACAGAGAAAACGAGATGTTTCCAGAGTTCAGGACACTCCTGCCCAATTTCTCTGTTTTGTGCTTTCTGAATACCTTCACCCCTCCCACCCCAAAAATCTGGTTGATAAATATTAGCTCTTTTTTTTACTTTTTTTTTTTTTTGGCATCCAGCCAACCCCATTCTCATTCAGAAGTTTCTGGATGCAGTGATTGGTGCCATTGATCACATTCTCCACATTGTGTCACCATTTTTGTTATTTCTGTTCCAGCTGCCTCACTTTCATTAATTTAAATCCTCCCCCCCCAACTTTCTCATCTATGCTTTAAAATAGTTATTGCCCATCTTGTTTTACAGAGATTTTTAAAAAAAAAAAACCCAAACAAACAAACTTCTTATTAGTGTTTATTGACTATGAAAACATTTTGGGGTTAAAAGAATTTTGAGTCAGGTAAAAAACAAACATGAGGAATAGAGAGAAGGCCTCTGTAACAACATATGATGTGTATTTAACACAACTTGGCTTTAGAACTAAAAATTAACTTGAAGTGCTTACTGATAAAGATGAAAGCAAAAATCTTCACTTCTCAGAAAATAAATAACATTGTGATAAACGGATAAGAAGAAAAACAAAACTCAGAAAACTCAAAACTCCTTGTCGTCAATCAGAGTCAACTCATGGCTAATTGTCCAGCAGATTAAAGAGAATTTTTTTAAGAAAATACAATTCTCAAGGGTGACAGTCTTCACTCTTTGAGTTTAGACTATTAATTTGGTTTACAGGTTAAATGAAAAGTTCAAAGGGTAACTCAAGAGTCACCCAAGTCTTGGGGACTTCTCCAGCTTCAGGAAGCCCAGTAATGGTGGGTTCTTTAAGAATATGAAGCTCTTTCTTGTACTTTTCTCTGTCAGGCCCCACCTATTGTGCCCCTTTTAAGAACACTGGGTTGGTACTGGGAGCTGAGCACCATCCTGTTCTAGCCTCATGGTTCACGGGGACAATTAGTCTTATAGTCCAGTTCCTTCTCTCGAGTTTCCTTCCTTCTTCTCCATTGTTTCAGACAAATAGACACCAATAGTTGTGTCTTAAATGGCTGTTTGTAAGCGTTTAAGAACCGACTCACTGCTCATCACCACGTTTCTTCCAGTATCTATAGGGCCAGTGTGCCTTGGGACCCTACTCATCCTGCTGGGAACTGGAATATAAACTTTTAGAAATACTAAGAAGTTCCTGGGGGGAGTTCTGGTGGCCTAGTGGTAAGAAGCTGCACTGCAATCCCCAAGGCATGCGGTTCAAATCCACTAGCTGCTCTGCGGGAGAAGGATTGGCAATCTCCTCCCGTGTGCGATTACTGCTTCTGAAAATCCACTGGAGGGTCAGCTATGGGTCAGTTCCGACTTGATGGTACACAACGACAACAACTCAATAAGCAGTCTCTGGAGGAAGCTCTGATGGCCGAGTGGTAAGAAGCTGCACTGCAATTTCAAAGGAACATGGTCCGAATCTACCAGCAGCTCCGGAGGAAGATGGGCGATCTCCTCGCTTGCAATTCGCTGACTCTGAAAACTCTCTGGAGGGTCAGCTATGACTCGGTTTCCACTCGATGGTACACCACCACCACCACCACCACCAACAACAACAAGAAGCAGTTTCTGGTGCTCAAGTGGGGCAGGGTACCAGCCAAAGGCAGGTGGTTTGATTCCACCTGCTGCTTTGATGAGAAAGATCTCCTCTTTTGTAATTTACAGCCTCTGAAAACCTGCTGGAGGGTCAGCTATCTGCCAGTTCTGACTTGACAGCATATATCAATAACAAGAAGTAGCCTCGAGGTCATGAATCAGATCCAGCCCTGTGTCTTTAAGCAGTACTTGTAAATGAGTTTCATCAGGTGGAGATGGTTTTTATTTAGTGCGAGAAAAGACTCAAAGGTGTCACTGATTTGAAAGCTGCGCAGGCGGCCAGGATTCCTGACTGCTCTCCATTAGGGGAGTGAGAGGGTATCCCAACACAGGCACATGAAGAGTTGGTTGTGAATAGAGGTTGAACTTTGGGGGTGGTCTATGACTCTACGGCACCTAACAACAATAACAACGACAACATAGAGAGAGCTACGTTGGCCTAGTGGACAGAAAGTTATGCTAGCAAGCCCAAGGTGAGTGATTTTAATCTGCAGCACTCAGGCTTGGTTCAAAATTCTTTTTTTTGTGAAACATTCTTCTAGGTGGTATAGCACTGGTCTGTGCATTGCCGTACAGAGGTAACTTGTGTTTGCTGTGATGCTAATCACTGTGACACTGATATACCAAATGTGGTAACGGGTTACCCAGGGTGGACAGTGTTTGGTGGAGCTTCCCAATTAAAACAAGCTTGGAAGCAGGAGTGGCATCCACTTCAGAAATGGCTTGCCTCCAGAAACTCTATGAGCAGAGCTCAGATCTTCCGTTCATAGGGTCACTACGAGTCATCTATGACTTGACGACCCCTAACAACAACAACAGCACTTTAAAAAAATATTTTAATCAAAGTTTATCAAGAACTTGGATTTCCATTTGTTCATTGTTGCACATTTTCCTCCCTGTCCCTCATACTCCCCAGTTCACTTTTTTCTTTGGAAAAAAAGTTCTTTCATTGTTATACAGTCATACACACACACACACACACACACACACACACACACACACACACACACACACACTTTACTATGCAGCTCTTATTCTGGACTTTTGTCATGCCAATAATACCTAAACATAGATTCCTTTTATACAGTTCTCTCCCTCGTCTGTTTCAATGCCGTGTACATTGTTTATCCCAAGAGGAAGATTCTTAACAAGCTGTACTGACAAACTGGCTGCAATAGAAGTGGGCTCATACGTAGCAACAGTTGTGAGGATGACACAGACCTGGGAAGATTTAATTGTTGTATATGAGCCCACGCCAAGCCAGCTCCACTGTGATCTCTGAAAACCAGTGGAGTGGAGGACAAATTTACATAACATTCCAAGGCAAGTTGGTGTTGTCTGTAAATTGGACATCTGTGACTCAAAGAGTCATTCTTGTGCTAACCTGAAAGTTATCTATTGCTGCAGAACAAAACTCTCCCAAATTCAACAACTTAGAATCATCATCTATTATTGCATATGGAATTGGGGAGCAGCTTAGCCCGGGGAGTGGTTCTAGCCTGGGTTCTCCTATGAGATTGTAGTCATGGTACCAGCCAGAGCTGCAGTCATCTGAAGGCTTGACTCGTGGTAATAGACATGCTTCCGAGATGAGCCGCTCACCTGGCTGTTGTCTGGAGGCCTCAGGACTGCAGAAGACCTCGGTTCCTTGCCATGTGTCCTTGCAATGGTGCCACCTGGGTGTCCTCACAACATGGCAGCGGGTTCCCTCAGAGCCACTCTTTTTTAAAAAAATTTTTTATTATTATTTGTGTGTGTGTGTGTGTGTGTGTGTGTGTGTTCAAATTGATCAAATTGGATCGGACTGGTACAGGAGGAGATTGTCCCTCCTTCTCCAGCAGAGCATCTGGTGGATTTGAACCATGTACTTCTGAGATTGCAGTGCAGTTTCTTGCCAGTAGGC